GGGGAGATGTTGTTTCCTTTTTTTTTTTGTGTGTGTGTGGGATACCAGTAGGACAGGGGTGGAGCCTGTGGGGCTTGTGGAGGGGGAAATGTTGGGAGGGCGTGTGGGAGTGGATGGGTGGAGGGGGGGGAGGTGGGTTGGGGGGTTTGGAACAAGGAAGGCGGCAATGGGGTTGGGTTGAAGAGGGACTCCCGACACAAGGGGTTGACGGCTGGGCTGTTTGTGGATCGTGTGTGTGCAGGTGAAGCTGCCGGTGGTGCTGGTGAAGATGTGATGGGCTGACGCCTATGCAATCTGCGAATTTAAGGGGGGGGGGGRGGGGAGACAAGGAAACTCACACAAAAAAAATAAGGTTGCGCACCTGACGCAAATGCATCCTGTTTGTGCGCATGCCCCAGCGCACCTGCACGCAGCGCACCACACAGCAGCGCAGTGCATCGTGCCCCCGGGTGCACGGTGCACTCCGGCGCGCGTGCACCTTGGATCCGCGCATCACGCAGGCCAGGTGCACCGCGAGTATGCAACAGATCGATCTCACTACTCACAACCCCCTACAAAATCCTCACGAAAGCACCAGCCAACACGATCATAAAACTCACTGATAAATGTTTTCACATTGATCAAGCAGGGTTTATCCCGGGGATATACATACTAAACAATGTGATGACCCTGAACGAGGCAGCAAAGAAGACTACGGAAAAAAAATGCAGGCTGCTATCCTGTTCTTCGATTTTGAAAAAGCCTATGATCAAGTTAATTGAGACTTCCTCCATAACAGCATGGCGAAGATGGGAGTTGGCCTGAATTTCAGGGAATGGATCAGAATCATACTTGCAAGCGGACGTCGTCCGCTGATTCACGGACGGTTGGCGCTCAAGCGCACCCCGACAGTACGGCGCACGACCTGTGGGGCGCACGGAGCCCAAAAAAAAAAAGTCGAAAAAAAAAAAAAAACCTACTTGTCGATTCATCCCTCGGCCGCCCCCCCCAGCAAAAATCGTTTCGGGGCCGAGGGAAATTTTTAGCGGGCCGCGCTCAAGAGCGGCCCGAAACAATTTCGAATTTTGGTTTTGGGTGGGGGGGCCTGTTTGTCGGTGTGAGCAGGTCGACACCGGCTGTTCTGTCGTTGTCCACGAGCCGGTTCCGATCCACGTCGTGACGAAGTGCCGTTCATTCGCCTCGCCCGCCACGAGCAGTGCTCAGCTCCCCTTGCGCTTGGAAGTTCGACTGTTGCTGAGGAGTCGAGCTCTGGAGCGACCATCGCCTGCAACCGCCCTCCAAGGTGAGTGTTCACCAGCCCTCCTGCGTTCCCTCGAACTCACCTCCTCCTCCTCCTCCTCCTCCTCTTCCACATCTTCCTCCTCCTCCACATCTTCCTCCTCCTCCTCCTCCTTCTCCACATCTTTCTCCTCCTCCACATCTTCCTCCTCCTCCTCCTCCACTCCTCCTCCTCCACTCGCCGTGTCCTCCTCGTTCATCTCTCCTCCTCCACATTTCCCTCCTCGTCAAGGTCTCGTCAACGTTTCTTACGTAAACTTAGTAACTTAGTAAACTACTAAACTTTGAATAACGNTCTCTCCTCCTCCACATTTCCCTCCTCGTCAAGGTCTCGTCAACGTTTCTTACGTAAACTTAGTAACTTAGTAAACTACTAAACTTTGAATAACGATTGGAATGTCGTCGTCTTCCATATGCAGACTGCAAGGTGTGATGCCGACTGCCACGTGTCACAGCCTCGTCACTTCTTTTTTTTTTTTTTTAATGGCAACTTTCAAGTTCGAAGTTCGAACTTTCATGGTATCTCCTCCTTGTCTCATCGTCCTCCTCCTTTGCTCCTCGTCGTTGTCCATCTCTCCTCCTCCCTACCTCCTCCTCCTCCGTCTCTTTTTCATCCCTCGTCGTCCATCTTTTGTCCGTCATCTTTCTTCCTCCACATCTTCCTCCATCTCCCGTCCTCCATTCTCCATTCTCCATCTCTCCTCCTCCACCTCTCAGCCTCTTTTTCACGGCTTCGTCAAGGTTTACGGTCCCGGGAACTTCGAAGTCCCGAACTGGCATGGTATGATTGGTATCTCCTCCTCATCGCGTCGTTGTCCTCCTCCTCCTCCTCCCCATCCGCCATCCCTTCTCCTCCTGACCTCCTTGTCCTCCTCCTCCTCCTCCTCCTCCACATCTTCCTCCTCCACATCTTTCTCCTTCTCCACATCTTCCTCCTCCTCCTCCTCCTCCTCCACTCCTTGTTCATTTCTCCTCCTCCACGTTTCCCTCCTCGTCAAGGTCTCGACAACGTTTCTTACGTAAACTTAGTAAACTACGAAACTTTGAATAACGGTTGGAATGTCGTCGTCTTCCGTATGCGGACTGCAAGGTGTGATGCCGACTGCCACGTGTCACAGCCTCGTCACTTCTTTTTTTTTTTTTTCTAACGGCAACTTTCAAGTTCGAAATTCGAACTTCCGTGGTATCTCCTCCTTATCTCATCGTCCTCCTCCTTTGCTCCTCGCCGTTGTCCATCTCTCCTCCTCCCTACCTCCTCCTCCGTCTCTTTTTCATCCCTCGTCGTCCATCTTTTGTCCGTCATCTTTCTTCCTCCACCTCTTCCTCCATCTCCCGTCCTCCATTCTCCATCTCTCCTCCTCCACCTCTCAGCCTCTTTTTCACGGCTTCGTCAACGTTTACGGTCCCAAGAACTTTGAAGTCCCGAACTGGCATGGTATGATCGGTACCTCCTCCTCATCGCGTCGTTGTCCTCCTCCTCCTCCTCCCCATCCGCCATCCCTTCTCCTCCTGACCTCCTTGTCCTCCTCCTCCTCCTCCTCTACCTCCACATCTTCCTCCTCCACATCTTTCTCCTTCTCCACATCTTCCTCCTCATCCTCCTCCTCCTCCTCCTCCACTCCTCCTCCACTCCTCGTTCATCTGTCCTCCTCGTTCATTTCTCCTCCTCCACGTTTCCCTCCTCGTCAAGGTCTCGTCAGCTTTTCTTACGTAAACTTAGTAAACTACTAAACTTTGAATAACGGTTGGAATGTCGTCGTCTTCCATATGCGGACTGCAAGGTGTGATGCCGACTGCCACGTGTCACANTGCGGACTGCAAGGTGTGATGCCGACTGCCACGTGTCACAGCCTCGTCACTTTTTTTTTTTTTTTTTTTAATGGCAACTTTCAAGTTCGAAGTTCAAGCGTTCGTGGTATCTCCTCCTTATCTCATCGTCATTGTCCATCTCTCCTCCTCCCTACCTCCTCCTCCTCCGTCTCTTTTCCATCCCTCTTCGTCCATCTTTCTTCCTCCACCCTTCCTCCATCTCCCGTCCTCCATTCTCCATCTCTCCTCCACCTCTCAGCCTCTTTTTCACGGCTTCGTCAACCTTTACGGTCACGGGAAAGTCCCGAACTGGCATGGTATCTCCTCCTCATCGCGTTGTTGTCCTCCTCCTCCTCCTCCCCCTCCGTCATCCCTTCTCCTCCTGACCTCCTTGTCCTCCTCCTCCTTCATCTCTCATCCTCCGTGTCCTCCTCTTCCTCCTCCATCTCCTCTTCTT